ATTCACACGTGAGTGCATGAAATATGGACCACGCCCCCTGGAGTTGGGGTTACGGGTGATTGTGAAACATTCAGTGTGGGAACTGAATGTGGGTCCTCTGCAGAGCTACAAGTGCTCTTGACTGCCCAGCCTTCTCCCCAGCCCTTTAAAAGAATGGGTGCAAAGGAAATGAAAGAAAGAGGGGAGGAAAAATTAAAGAAAGGAGTTATATCAATGCAGTCACTTCGAATAAAAAAATGAAGCAGGGGCTGGAGAGATGGCTCAGCAGTTAAGAGCACTGACAGCTCTCCCAGAGGTCCTGAGTTCAACTCCCAGCAACCACATGGTGGCTCACAACCATTTGTAGTGGGATCCGATACCCTCTTCTGGTGTGTCTGAAGACAGCTACAGTTTACACAGATAAATAAAATAAGTAAGTCTTTAAAAAAAAAAAAAAAGGAATGAAGCAGGGTCTTTGTAGAAGCAAGCTTTACCCCATGTGTGTGGGGGATATGGGCTTAAAACATCTGTATAGAGATTTCACAATGTGGGGGTGGTAAAAAGATTTTAATTCCCTTTTATAAGCAAAACTTTTATAGTGTTTTACAGAAAAGACTAATATTTGATGGGTTTTAAATGCTCAACTATGTAGGCTTGGACTGGGGAAGGGAAATAGCCCAACTTAAGAATTAGAAAAAAAAATACTCAGCCGGGCGGTGGTGGCGCACGCCTTTAATCCCAGCACTTGGGAGGCAGAGGCAGGCGGATTTCTGAGTTCAAGAGCAGCCTGGTCTACAGAGTGAGTTCCAGGACAGCCAGGGCTACATAGAGAAACCCTGTCTCAAAAAACCAAAAGAAAAAAAGAAAGGAAAAAAAAATACTCTGGCATTTCTGGTCAGACCCAATTCAAGTCTGTTATTTCATCCATCCTTACTGATGTCTATCCAGAGACATTGGATCTACAGTTTTGGGGGAAGTTGAGGACACCCTGTAACCTGTGAGAGACCAGCCAAGAAAGGAAACCGTATATATAGTGTACTGCTTGACCTCTAGTCTTCCCCATTTGCCCGTGTCACCTTTGCCTTTCTCCCAGGTGCTCATAGTCTCATTCGCGCCTCTCCCTAACCTCCTAAACAGCCTGAGGCGACAGCAGTCTATAATGTTTGCAGTCCTATCCCTCACAACTGGCTCCCCACTTAATGTTTACAAAGTATTTGATAAATGTGTGTTGAATGAAAGGATAAAGGAAACGACTCCCGCTACGTTTACATACTTTTATTTATGTGTGTGTGTGTGTGTGTGTGTGTGTGTGTGTGTGTGTGTTGTATCCTGGGTACCGGAAGTCATAGTTACCATCTCATCTGACCATCCCTTCAGCCTCCTAGGCGCTCTAACCCTATCTTATAGATTAATAAATAAAGGAAGAGCAAGTTCAAACCCAAAGAGATGAAGCTATTTGCTCTGGGTCATACAGCCAGTGATCCTGGGAGTGTGAACAGCATCTCTCTGGCCTAGCTGTGTCTACAAATCCAGGCTCATTATTTCACACCTTATGTATACACATACACTCAAACTTGAAGTGGAACTATGTGAGGTGTGTGTGTGTGTGTGTGTGTGAATGTGTGTGTGTGTTTGTGTGTGTTGCTAGGGATCAAATCTAAGAACTTCTTTTTAGTACTAACAGTAAGGATTCCAACCTAGCCCACAAGCCCTATATATAGCAAGGAGTGAGGTGGAGGCATTGTTCTGCCTGTTGGTGTGGAACTGGACATCTGCTGTTTCAATATGTGTCCACAGAAATCCCTGAAAGATAGGCAAGGCTGGGACAACCCCTCACTCTCTTCTAGAGAAAAAAAAAAAAACCACTGTACTTTGGAGAAGGGAAGTGAGACCTGGTCAAGGTTATGTGTGACAAGTGAGACTTGGCTTTGCAAGCTGCCCACGCTCTCTTCCTTCAGCCCTTTCTCACACTCCCACATCCCTTATCCCCTGCACCACTGATGTCTTTGAGACCAAAGAGTCAACTCTCAAGCAAAGAAATCAATTCAGCTTTAAAGAGAGCATGGAACTGAACCTGGAAGTGTCCCGATGGGGGACAGTCCTCCCCAAGTTGACCTGAGTGGGCTGCTGGGGCCACTGAGGTTTCACTTGAAGGGACAGATGTCATTTGGATCTTCATACTTGCCTAGATTCCCAGCACTAGAGGGAAATTACTGGGAATGGCTGTAATATGTTGTATGTACTCTAATCCCTTTAAGCACAGAGGAGGAATTCATAAATGCTCTTTCCATGTTCATTTTGTATCTCCCTCTACCCTCCCCATCTCCGGTCTTCTCCCTAGAATCTACACAACATTCTCCCTTGCTTTCCTTGACCCCTTTCATATGCCTATACAAATGAGAAACAAATGTGAAATTCACTTCCCCCGCCCTTGCTGTGATTTCAAAGGGCATGAGTGAGGAATCCAGCAGTCTGGATCTTCACCTCTGCTGTCATTCACTGTGTACTTTTGGCCCATCACTCAGCCTCTCTGAACCTTGCTATCCTCATCTGTAAAATGGGGTGTAAATCTCTCTCCCAGGGGTACTATGCAGATAATACTGGATGCACGTCCATGTGAAGAATTCCAGTTTTCTTCTTTTAAAAACAAAACTTTTCTTTTATGTGTACAAGTGTTTTGCCTGCATGTATGTCTGTGCACTATTTGCCTGCCTGGTGCCAGAGGAAGCCAGAAGAGGGTGTCAGATTACTTGGAATTGGAGTCACAGACTGTTACAAGCCACTGTGTGGGTGTAATGAATCCGACCTGCGCTCTTTGCAAAAGCCACACGTGTACTTAACCGCTGATTTATTTCTCCAGCTCCCTGCCTCCAACTTTATTCTTTTTAAAGACTGTTTCATTTTACTTCATTTTGTATTTTGTGTGTGAGCATTTTGCCTCCAAGTATGTGTATTTGTATGCTTGCATGTCTGGTGCCTGAAAGAGTCAGAAGAGGATGTTAGCACCCCTGGACTGTGAGTTAGAAACAGTTGTGAGCTACCACATCAGGGCTGGGAACCAAACTCAGTCCTCCGCAAGCACAAGTGTTCTTAACTACTGAGCCATCCAGCCACCCAATTTTATTCTTTAAGTATTATAAATACAAATGGAAAAGGTCTCAATTGCTGTGAAGAGGAAGGGACAACAGATTTTTGTACCATCCAAAGATCCTGAAGGACACTGTAGCTTGTTCAGGGAGAGAGTATCTGATTCACTGCAGGAGACAGGACTCTACATGTCCCCTAAAGGCCCCTGCCTTGCCAAGCTGTAGTTGGTGTTTCTAGCTTGGAGATCTAGAACTTCAGTAATGTTGGAATTGCCAGGTGTCAGGATACACTCCTTTAACGCCAGCATTTGGGAGACAGAGGCAGGCAGATCTCTGAGTTGAAGTCTAGCCTGGTCCACAGAGCCAGTTCCAGGACAGCCAGGGCTTCAGAGAGACACTCTGTCTCAAACAAACAACAGTTAAATATTTTTGGAATCTCTATGGTTGCTGGTCATCCCCTATACCTGGGGTCTTCTACCCCTCCCTTGAGGTCAGATATGTATGGAGAGCCCCTTTCTGCTCTTGGGTCAAAGGGGGCAACTTTCCAGGACTAGCAAATCACTGAGGTCAGCTCAGCTGACAAGCTATCTGTTAATGAAACATCTTTATCTAGGGACCTGGAAGAGGAAATTGAAAGAGTCGGACAGTAGGGGAGCCAGGGAGATGAGATGAAAGGTCACCCAAGAGCAGAAATGAAAACAGCAGCCCCTGGCCAATGTCTGACCAGCAGAGAGATTTTACAAATGGTTCTTCAGCTCTTCTTGGGCATAGGGCTGTGGGTGCAATTATTTGTCTGTCCTTCCATTCACCCATCTGTTAATCTTCCCCAAACTGTCTGCTGAGGCCTAGCCAGAAACAGCCTTATCCTTGGCACAAGGCCACATGTTAAGATGAAATCAGATTGGGCTTCATGGAGCCAGTGGGTGGAAGACAGAAGACATACCAAGAAGAGGGTATAGCAAGGACCAGGGGTGGTGGATGGGGAAAGGTTGGGCCGCGGCAGGCATTAAGGGACCTTGACTACAAAGGGGAGGGCCTAAGTGCCCAGCAGGTGCATTGATGGTTATGTAGAGAGAAGGCACAAATAGCAGGCTTTAGCAAGACAAGCAGAAAGTCCCTAAAGGAGGGAGGCTCCAGAGAATAAGAGAGAGGCTGGGAGACAGGACTTCAGCATGATTCCACTAGAATGTCTTTAGTGGGTCTAGCCTCTGCCCAGTACAGTTTGATGCCCGTTACTTTCGGCTTCTACTTCAGGGCTCTAATTGCCCTTGGGCCAAGAGTTTGAAGATTGCCACTCCTGTGCTTCCTTCCCACATCGACTTCAAAATGGCCAGACCCACAGGATCCCCTTGTCCTCGTAGCTTCTGAAGCGAGACAAACTGGGTATGAACGTCTGGTGCTCCAGCTAGCTGACCTTGGGCGAGTCATCCTACCTTCCCCTGCCCCCGTCCCCTATTCTGTTATATAGCAGCCGTATAGGCACTGTGGCTGGGAGAGGTGGCTATATCACAGGAAGGACCTAAAGCTTGACCCAGCCCCACCACAACATCTGGAAAACAGGCTAAGTTTCAGTTCTGGATACTTGGTCAGCGGAGCAGGGAACCTGGGGACCCAACATCTAGGTCTTCAATGATGGACAAGCCTGGGGTGGAAGATGCAGAGTGAAATCCTGTAGTCCTCAGCATGGGTGGTATCTCCTGTCCCAGAGTTTATATCCGTGCTGGCAAAAAAAGGAAGGAGGGTGGTGGGGACCCAGAATCGATAAAAGATGAGGAATAGGCTTATCTCTTCGTGACCTCCTATCTCGACCTGGGACTTCAATGGCCAGTGGGCGGGTGGGGCCAGGGCAGGACCAGCCTCTTCTGCACTGTTGGGGGGTGGGGGGCGGGTCCCTGGGGAACCGCTCCTCCCGCCCGCCGCCACTTTAAGAGGCCGCTCCACCGCAGCAAAGCGGGGCCGGAGCCGCAGACGGAGCAAGCGGACAGAACGGAGCCGGCAGGTGCAGGGCCCCGGAGACAGCAGCGGCATGACCGGCCACCACTGTTGGGGCTACGGCCAGGACGATGGTAGGCGCAGACCCCTGGTTCTCACCCAGCTGGACTCACTGCGACCCGCGCGACCGACCAGGTTTTTCGGAACCCGCAAGCCCCACGCTCCAGAACCCACCCGGACCTCTCTCTCGTGCAGTCCCCAGAACCCAACCCCTGCCCTGCTTCCTCTGATCCCGGCGCAAAGTCCGTGCTGTGCCCAGGGCCCGCCCGCGAACCACTGGGTAGCTGAGCGCGTCCTGCCGCCGCCTCCGCGCAGCGCGGGACTGCAGCGCTGGCTCCCACCCGGCCCCACACTCTCTCTCCCCCGGCGTGCGCAGCGCTTGCAGGTGGCTTAGGGCGACGGGGGCGGGAGGGGGGTGGCCGAGTCTCAGCGCTATGCGCGGGTGTCATTGCGGAGAGCGCGCACAACGGGTATGCAGGGACCTCCCGGGAGCTGGGCTCCGTGTCCCCACGAGAGAGTTTCCCTGTTGAAGTGTCCGAGCTGCGGTGCAGACTGGTACGCGAGTTAAGAGGGAGGGCACTTCGGGACACAACGGGAACGTCTGGGTGTCTACACCCGGGAGAGTGTTTCAGCGTGTCCTAAGTGAGTGGGGCCATGGGTACCGGGTTTGGCTAAGGAGGACAGCTCTCCCATTCTGCCTCAGTTACCTAGGATGCAGAGAGGGTACGGAAGAAGTCGGTGAGCCAGACAGCTTGAGTGTGGGTATGGGGTAGGTCAGCTCCGTTTGGGTTTATTTCTTGCCAAGAAGAGATAGGGTGTGGGGCAAGGAAGGGCTTCTCCATTCCCCAGAGAAGAAGGATGATTACCCAGGATCCTGATTGTCAGGAGGGGAACCCAGGCAGGGCAAGTGGAGAAGGGAGCAAGTGCTGAAGGGGGTACTTACTGTTCCTCCAGCCCCACTTTTCTCAGGGATTGTCACTTTGTGAGAGCGAGCAAATGTCCTGGGCTATTTAGTGTCTGTGGTAGGAAGTTGCAACTGACCAGAGGGAACCCTATAGTTGGTGCAGTTTCCGCCAACTCTGAGACCCTCAAAGACTAAGGACCATGTTTTTGAAAGGGCAACCATAGATTTGGACACACTAGCCTGGACAGAGACATTCAGGATAAAAGGAGGTGACAGAGCCCGACAGAGATGGTGAGAGAGGCAGAGAAAAGCCAAGGTTAATAAAAGACCATCTTCTGTCTGCAATGCACTGGATCCACTTTTAAGTGCCGCCCCGCCGCCCCCGTAGTCCCAGTGCCCGTTCCTAACCTTCCTACTAGCTCTGTCCTCCAGCTCTGTGCTTCCAGCATCCTGAACAGCTTGTTCTCTTCAGGCACCTATCCCTCAGGCAGTCAGACCTGGGCGGTCCAGCTGAGGGAAGAGAAGGACAGAGGACAGAGGTGCCCAAATGCGGCATCGCTCACAGGGCTTCAAAAATAACCCAGTAGGGCTGGGCCACCATTCTGAGTCATCCATTGGGGACACAGCTCTGTCGGCACCTGCTGCTGTTTTCTCGGGAAAACTTAAGAAGCCAAAAAGGGGGAGAAGCACCAGCCGGCAGTAGCTCTAAAAATAGGCTGCCTCTCAGGATGTTCCCCAGGGAGATGCTGAGCCTCCCCACTGCAGATGGAGTCTCTGGGAGGCAGGTGGTGGGTGCCTGTGGGTGTGCATGCAGGTGTGTGTGTGTGTGTGTGTACACACAGGCATTCTTGGGAATATGTGTGCATGGGTATGTGGTCTGCTCTGGTCCCTTCAGTGGGATTCCAATAGAAGGTGTTTATGTATAGGGTGCATATGTGTGTGTGTCAGATGTAATCAGCAGGACTGGGGGTTGTGCAGGGGGAGCTTAGACCTTCCTGATCTGCTGAGTCCAGGTCACTGCATACTCATGCATATATGTATGTACACAAGAAGATCTATATGGGCCTGTTAGCACATGCTTGGAGTAGACAGGTAGAGGCAGTCCATATACATACTACATGTTTATACCAGTGCATGTGACCTGCTGTATGCTTATACTAGTGCATATATGTACATGTGAGCACGCATGGCTGACCCCAGTTTCTCATGTATGACATGAACCCCATGCTGCTTTCTTTCTACTTCATAAAGCTGTGGCTGTGAGGAGAAAACACGTCCCCTACTGAAAGCCAGGTTGATGAGCAGGTTTTATTATTCCAAGTGCCGAGTTTGCACTAAGTTCCTTTGGGGTACAGGAAGAGGCTAAATTGTTGATAGGGGCAGGTAAAATAGAGTGACTTCAGATGCCCAAGAGCCTCCCTGAGTGGGAGTTGGGTGGAGTCACTCTTTGGAACCACCTCTGAGCTCATGGCTGTGTTAGATGCCCTGCCCTTCAGTGCTTCTCTGGGCTCCAATACTGGAGAAGGGAATGGGAGGGATTTGGAAGCAGTTTCCCAGACAAGGTAATGGCCAGTGAATGACAAAGTGAAAGAGCTGGGATTAGGATTCGGGGTTGTGTCCCCCTGAACTTGGCTTGTCCCCCAAAGCTTGGTTGGCCTGAGTCCTTGATCCTTTTCTACCTATAGGCCCTTCAAATTGGCACAAGCTGTATCCCATTGCCCAGGGAGACCGCCAGTCACCCATCAATATCATATCCAGCCAGGCTGTGTACTCGCCCAGCCTGCAGCCACTGGAGCTTTTCTATGAGGCCTGCATGTCCCTCAGCATCACCAACAATGGCCACTCTGTCCAGGTGGACTTCAATGACAGTGATGACAAAACCGGTAAGTGGCCCCTGCCAAAACCTACCAATCCCCTTTGGGCCTGCACCATGGGTGGGGCCGTCTTAGGAGGGGCAGCTTGCTGTGATAGGGAAGCGAAGCTCTCCCTCTCACTGGCTGTGGTAAAGCCTGGAGTTCAGCCTCAGCCTCTCATTGCATAAAATGGAGCAATAAGATCTATTCTCTAGGGGCATAGAGGAAGTGGGGGAGATTTAAATGCTGTTTGTAGTCCTGCATAAAACAGATGCTCAAGAAATGCTAACTCCCTTCCTTCCATTCCTCTTAGAGCTTCAGGTCAGGTTTGTTTCCACTCCTAGACACTCACAGACCTGCCTGTGGCCTAGGCCCAAGCCCTCTACACTGTGATCAGGGCAGGCCCCCAAAGGAAGAGGAGGGAACTGAGGTGTTCTATGTGCCCAAGTACATGCTACAATTCAGGCAGCCTCAGCTGGGTGGTGGTGGTGCATGCCTTTAAGCCTGGCCCTTGGAAGGCAGAGGCAGGCAGATCTCTGAGTTGGAGGCCATCCTGGTCTAGTACAGAGCAAGTTTCAGCAAGGGCTACACAGAGAAACCCCATCTCAAACAAAAATAAACAAAAAGAATTCTGCTAGCCTCTCATTTAGTCTTCCCAAGAACCCATTACAGTGCCTGAGGCTCAATAGTAGAGCACTTACCCAGCATGCACAAGGCCCTACATCAACCCATCTGGGGCTGGGGATACAGCTTAGTTAGTACAGTGCTTTCTTAGAATGCAAACGTTCCTGGGTTTGAGCCCCAGCATCTCATAAAACCTAGGTTCAATAGTACATGTCTGTAATCCAAGAACTCTGGAGATGGAGATAGACATTCAAGGTCAACCTTGGCTACATAGTGAGTTTGAGGCCAGCCTTGGTTAGTGACCCATCTAAAACAATACCTCTCTGCCGCAGCATCAGAGGAGTTTGCAAATCCTCAGTAAACCTCTGCTCTTGCTGAGAGGGAAGAAAACCTAGAAGATTCCCTAGGAGCAAAGGACAAAGCACCCCTTCATAATGACTCTAGAAAAAGTCTTCACACAGAGCCCCAGACACAGACAAGGAGTCTAGATGACAGTTTATGGAGAAGCAATTTGTAGGCTAGAACATATCTTCTCCAGCTTCATAGATCTCTCTAACTTATCCCTGACCTTCAAAGTCCTCACCATCATGGACCAGAGTGAGGCCTGCAGGAAACTGTGGCAGTACCTTCTGAGGCCTCTTTGCTTTAAGACCAGAGTCCAGGTTTCCAAGATAAATTCCTAGGCAGAGACCTTAGGAAAAACTCTTTAGCGAAGGAACATTCTTATCACAGGCTCTGTGAGAGAGTGCGTGGGGTAAGAAGAGAAACTGTTAGGTTTTTCAATGTAAGGAAATGTAAACTTTTTTTTTTTTACTCTTCTCTGCCCCCTACTCAATGAAAGCATTCAGAACTTAGCTGTCTAACAGGAAATCAAGAGAAATGAAAGACCTACCTTTCATAAGGAGAGTGACTTTAGTTACTTAGCTCTGAGTTCCCTGGTTGGGTAGTAAAAAGGAAAAGAGACTCAGTTATAGCTTTACCGGAAGAAGCAAGCCTAGCAGAGCCTTGGAAAAGAGATACAATGTATTACCTAGTTTTGTGTTCTAAGAAGAGTCTTGGGAAGGCAACATGAGACACTAGATGACCCTGGATGGCAGTTATGAGGGAGCAGTTTCCATGGCTATCCCTTAGCTAGCCTTCAAAGGCTCAACTCAAACAAGCCTCTTTATCTTAGGACCAGAGTCCAGGTTTCCAAGGCGAATTCCTAGGCAGAGGCTTTAGGGAATAGTCTTTAGTGAGTATTTGGATAACTGGTCTGAGGATTCACACTAGAGGCCTGGCTGGAGCTCTACTTCCCCAGGAGCCCAGTGGAAAGAGGAAGGTAGGTGGGGTTCTGCTATCACCCATTGTAGGTTACTATGGAGGTCAAGTGGGCTGATACCTCCAGAGCATCAAATACATAGCGAGTTCACAGTGAACAGCAGAGTGTCTGCAATCATAGAAAGAAGCTGTTCTCAATCTGTGAGTACTGATTCTTTGGAACTGTGGATCAAATGACCCTTTCACAAGGGTCACCTAAGACCATCAGAAAACACAGATATTTATATTACTATTTGTAACTGTAACAAAATTACAGCTATGAAGTAGCCACAAAAATAATGTTATGGCGTGGGGGGGGTCATCACAACAAGAGGAACTGTATTCATGGATTAAAGCATTAGGGAGGTTGAAAACCACTGATGCAGAGTGAGAAGCAGGACACCCCTCTGGCACCATCCTGTGGGGTTCTAGGAGAAGTAAGCTCGGACAGTAGAGCCCTGTAGATGAATTGGAAAGTCTCCTGACCACAGAACAGGTTAGTGTTCTGTGCAAGCCACCAATCCCAGGTCCTGATTCCTTTTGTTAGTCTGTACTATGGCCTTGGATAGCCTGCTTCTGACATAAAGCAGCAGAAATGGACCTCTGGACTTTGTCCTGGTCACTGATCATGAAGTGGCCTGGTGGAATTGAGCTTAGAGATGTCACTTGATCCAGGAGCTCACATTCAGGCCTAGCTAGGGCCTTTCCACCCGCAGATCTCTTTCAGCTGGAAATTCTATCAGTCCCAAGAGGCCTTATGTGTAGTCCTAGATCACCAGCTATCAAGGTGAGAAAGTTACAAAACTATCATGGCTGGGGCCCTCCAAAGAGGCTATCTGTACAGGGGATGGCACTGGGAGGTCCTGGAACTGACTGAGAATGTAGGGACTCTCAGGAAGTGGCCTCCTGTTCCAAGGCAATGGAATGTTCTGGCAAGGCTCCATGTTGGAGGGAAGCAATGAGGCCTGGTTGGAGGGAAGCAATGTTTGGTGGTTAGGAGTGTGGGGCACAGAAGCTATGTTTGCACTGTGATCTTGCCTCAGTGTCCTCCTTTATAAAATAGGTCCAGCCAGGCAAGGTGGCACATCCCTTTATTCCCAGCACTGGGAGACAGAAGCAGGCAAATCTCTGTGAGTTCAAGGCCAGCCTAGTCTACACAGTGAGTTACAGGCCAGCCTGAGATACCTACACACGCATGCACGCATGCACGCACGCACACACACACACACATGCACGCACGCACGCATGTGCATGCATGCACACATAATAATAATAAAAGCAAGATAAAATTGGTCCCAAAATAAATTTTGTCCCTCCTGAGCTACCAAGGTAACTAAAAAAATAATTGTTCCTATTCAGCCATGGGTCAGGTCCCCAGAAGTGGGCTATCTATTGTTTGTGGGAACAAAGGGTCTGAGAGACAGGAGGCCAGCTTCCACAGGAAATCTGGCTGAAGTTGGGAGGTAGAAACCAGTATAAAGCCCTATTCTATCAGAACAGGCTCCTTACCTATTCAGTAGGCTGTCACACCTTCTGCCTTGACCCAGACTGGGGGGGGGGCAGACTGTAGGGACTGGTGAGACAAACCCACGTCCTATCCAGCAAGTTTTCCATGTGGAAAATATAGACTCTAGCCAGGCTTGGTAGTATAGGCCTGTGATCTTAGCTACTCTGGAGGCTGAAGTGGGAGAATAGTATGTATGAAATGAGCCTAGCAACTTAGCAAGACTCTACCTCAAAATAAAAAAAGTCCAAAAAGGGTCGGAGATCAGCTCAGTGGTAGAGTGCTTGCCTAGAATATTTGAGGCCCTAAGTTAAATCCCCAAGATAGCCAAAATAGATAAATTATGGAGCAAACCCTTGGTCGGGATATAGCTCATCAGCAGATTGCTTGTCTAACATACATAAAGCCCTTGGTTTGATCTCCAACATCACAGAAACACAGACACACACAGACAACAGACACACACAGATACACACAGACACACACACACACACAGTCCCTACCTGGGCTGCCTGGGTCCTGGCACTGCCACTCACCAAGCTGAGTGCTCTCCTATATGAACGACTACATCTCACTTCTACCCACAGTGGTGTCTGGGGGCCCTCTGGAAGGGCCCTATCGTCTCAGGCAGCTCCACTTCCACTGGGGCAAGAAGCGTGACATGGGCTCAGAGCACACAGTGGATGGCAAGTCCTTCCCCAGCGAGGTGAGGTCTTTTTCGATGTATCCCTCTGTTGCCTGGGGAAGGAGGGTATATGTGACAGTTGGGGGTTGGGATGGCTCAAGGATGCTTGCAGGAGGACTCTGAAGAACATGTGGAGAAGCACCTGGAGCCTTTGGGAGATACCCCCTCCTCATCTGCATGCTGTCCACACACCTGAACTATGTATGCATCCTGGAGTTTTAGGAAGGACCCAGAAGGGGATGGACACTACCTATGGTTCTCCAGGGGCTCCCTCGGATCCTGAGATTAGGGGGCTTGCAGCCTCACCTCTTACAGAGGGAGCAAGGGAAGACTGATTTGATGCCCCTGCTGTTTCTGGAGGCACTCAGCCCTGGTCTGGCCTGGCTTGTTCTTGCCTCTCCAGCTACATCTGGTTCACTGGAATGCCAAGAAGTACAGCACGTTTGGGGAGGCGGCTGCAGCCCCTGATGGCCTGGCTGTGGTTGGTGTCTTCCTGGAGGTGGGTGGTAGATCCCCAGGGCTGGGAAGAGTGTGGGAGGCTCTCATTCCCTTCGTTTTGGAATGAAGGGGTTGGGGGCTCACACTGTCTTCTTCCGGACAGACAGGAGATGAGCACCCGAGCATGAATCGCCTGACAGATGCACTCTACATGGTTCGGTTTAAGGTGAGACGGGCAGGGTTGCTCTTCCTATCTGGAGCAGCCAGCTGGAGAGAGAGGATGGTGGAGACTGGCTCTTGGAGTATCCCATTCACTTTTGTATTCTGGCCGCACCCCTAGCTAAGACCCAGTGTGAGTGCTGGTTCCTCAGGCCAGGGACCTGGTCTTCTTCATCAGGATCCCATGGGTACCTAGCTTACAATATCCAATCATATGGATGGTGGCCTGCTACATCTCCCCAGTGAGGGCATCCAAAGGAGAGTGCCCAAAGCCACAGTTTTTACGTGTAAGCAAATGAGAAGGCCTGGCCCTGGCTCGGAAGTAGCACCTAAGGTCACAGATATTTACCTACAGTTTGTATCATCATGTCAAGAAGAGGCCCAAATCTTACTGACAGCAATGAGCAAGGAAACCCCTGGGCTGATCTTGGAAGGAGCTCAGTGCTAATTCCTGGGTTTCCATCCTTCCCAGGACACCAAGGCCCAGTTCAGCTGCTTCAACCCAAAGTGCCTGCTGCCCACCAGCCGACACTACTGGACCTATCCCGGTTCCCTGACCACACCCCCACTCAGTGAGAGTGTCACTTGGATTGTGCTCCGGGAGCCCATCAGAATCTCTGAGAGGCAGGTGAGTCCTCCCAGAGTTCCACGAATAGAAACATTCAGACTTCAGTCCTGGCAGGATGACTCCCAACCAGCAAGATGTGGTCTAGGTCCTTCCATTTGGCTACTATTTTGACTACTAAACCATAGGATCTTTGATTGATGTCAGCTTGGTTGCTAGCCCTGAAGACCCAACCATGGCAAGAAAGGAAAGGGCCTGATCTTGGGATCACTGTGTTGCAGTCAGAAAGCTGCCATTGCCCAAATGCCTCAGCTAGACAAGATTAGAACCAGCCTTCTGGTTTCACATTCAGGGGCCCATTAAGAAGCAAATAACTAAGGTTGACTCTCAAAGAAAAGAAAGGGCAGGGAGAGTGGAGTCACACAGGAGAAGCAGAAGGTTAGAGCTCCCTGAGCAGCCTCTGGGATCATAGAGGAAAGATATCATACCACCCACCCCTGCCCTGACCATCCTTTTTGTTTTAAGATGGAGAAATTTCGGAGCCTGCTTTTCACCTCAGAGGATGATGAGAGGGTCCATATGGTGAACAACTTCCGGCCACCACAGCCACTGAAGGGCCGAGTGGTCAAAGCATCCTTCCAGGCCTGAACCTAACCACCTACCCAGCCAGCCACTGGGGCACCATCCTCCCAAGGGCTTCCACGTCAGCGGACACCAAACCATCTGAGGCTCGCTCCCAGTTGGAGGAGGGGGCTACAAGTCCCTTGCTCCTTGACCACATTGAAGGGTTCTTGAGTTGTGGGGGTACCCTCCTGCTGCCCTGGGGGCTGGAAGAACAGGAACTGAGCAGAGTCCAAGCCAGGGCTGCCTCTGTTCCCCCAGATCCAAAGGCTCCTGAGAACTTCCTCTTGTCTTCCCTGCTGGCTGTTATCAACAGCCCCAACTGGAGTTCACACTGTGATGGCCAAGACACAGCTCCCCGGGGGGTAGGCAGCTGTCTCTGCCATAAAGACTCAAGCAATAATTAGAGGTGGGCAGAGCTGCCCACTCTGCATTACCTCTTCTGCAGGCCTCTGCCATACATGCACCTCACTGCCAGGCCATTACAATAGCAATGCTGGAGGCAATGTGGCCTCCTCCAGCCATCTGCTGCCACGGGCAGGCCCTGGCTATAGCTTAGATACTATTTCCCTTTGTTCCTACCCAGCCACCAAAGCCACCTACATAACAATCCACTCATGTACTAGCAAATAAATTCATTTATTCATGGAACCAATTCTCCCTGAGTGCCAATGCTCTGTCCAGTACTGTTCTAGGCTCTGGGTGGGGTGGAGGGGCGGTGGTAGTGAGTCAAGGAGCAGAATGAGCCGCTCCCTCTTTGGGTGGAGATGTGTAATTCTAGCCAGTGTTCTGAGGTGGAGAGGAGTTTGAGGTAGAGAAAGCAAGAGGCTCCCAGGTGAGAGCTTAACGTGACAAGGGTAAGGGGGTGGGGGTGGGGCTACTGAGGAGCCATTGGCAGGGCCAGGTGTGCAAATGGGGCAGATTCCCGCAGGGTGGGGGTGGGGGTGGGGGAGGAAGCCGTGGCCGGAGGCTAGGAGACAGAGAAAAGAAGAGATCAGAGAATCTCCCCAGGGAGAGGGTAGGACCCTGAGAGAACCCTGAGAGGAATTGATTGTGTTAGCTGCTCAAATTTAGCAGCCCTGGAAGGAAAATTTAAGGTGGCACAACATCTAGTTCTAAACTTTGTATTTACAAAAACCTAAAAATGAGTGTCCCCTTAAATTAACAGCAGAAGTACTTCTTCCTCTTCCTATCAGTCTCAGTTCTGGTCCAGGGAGCTCCTGTGGCCTTCACACTTAGAGTCTCAGTGAGCGTGGTGGCCCTAGTGAGGCAGCCGAGCAGGCACTAGACAGTGAAAGGGCCCAGGCATAAAGGGCTTGGGAGGTAGGGGCCTGGGATAGTGTGAAAGCACACATTTGGCATGGGCGGGGAGGGACAGCTGAGGTGCACCTTGGGGAGAAAGAGGCTGGCTAGGATCAGAGCTGGCAGTCTGACAGCAGGTCACCTGTGTGCCATATCCCTATTCTTGTCACTTTTATTATATGAAAAAGGCCCTTCCAGGTCACAAGGTACTCCTGGGCCCTGGTCCTCCAACTTTGGGTTCTGGAAGGTTAGAAGGAAGCTTGTGAGGCTTGGTGGTGTAGGCCTATAGTGCCAACAACTCTGGAGGCTGAAGCAGGAGAATAGTTGAGTTCAAGATCTGCCTGGATGGCAGACTCGAAGGCAGCCTGGTGAGTCAATGTAGAAAGCAAAAAGGAGGGAGGGGGCCCCCAGGGTAGCATCCCTCTCTGGGGAGCTATGGCAGTTGTTGGCTAGTGGACGGGAGCCATTTTTCTTTGGGGGTGTGGCTACTGATAGGTGGCTCACGATCCGGTAGATGTAATTGATGATTTTACATTCCCTCTCACGCTGTCAACATTAATGGGACTCGGTGGGCTAGTAAGAATAATGGCATGAAGTTTGGAGTGTGATGGATTGGTGGGTCCCAGAGGGACTTAGACACAGGTAGTAGGAGATGAAGATTATATGCCACCCCGTGTTCGCTTCTCCCTTGGTGTAGTCCGGCGCATTGCACCCCAGCTAGACTGGAGGAAAAGAAGCTTAGCCAGGCTGGTGGATGCAGGCAGGAGCTTGGTCAGCAATGAAGGAGAGGAGAGTGCACAGACAAAGAACACACTGGAGAGCCACTTCAGAGAACTAGCTCAGTTTACTGGGGGGGGAGGGGAAACAACAGCTATTTAAACCTTTGGTGGGGAGGAGGGGCTGCCAGGTTAAGTGTACATCATTGGCCAGTGCCAGGGTGCTGAGGATGCCTCATTAGCATAAAGAGGAATTCCAAATGCTGCTGGACACGACCTCATAAGGGGGAAAGGAAGTTTAACCTGGATACTGGCTCTGTGACTTTCTCTGATGAGGCAAGGGTTGGGAGCATAGGGCCATGTACACAGGGACATGCCAGTCTAGGGCAGTGGGGGCAGCGGTCCTGCTACTTCTGATCTCAGGCGAGAATTCCTGGGTTTGGACACACTTCAACCCCACTCTTGCTCCTCCTGGTCCCACAGCTCCCTGGCCCCACAATTGTATACGTGTATGGCGTTTCTAAAGAATAAGTAAAAAAAATTTAAAAATAAAAAGAAGGTTGGGGGTGTGGCTTAGCTATAGCAGCACTTGCCTAGTGTGCATGAGGTTCTAGGTTCAATCCACAATACTATGAAAAGAAAGAGAGGGGAGAAGAGGAAGGAGGAGGAGGGAGGAGAGGAAGAAGAGGAGGAGGAGGAAGAGGAGGAGAAGAAAGAGGAGGAGGAGGAGGAGGAGGAGGAGGAGGGCAAGAAGGGAGGGAAGGAGAGAAAAAAGAAAGAGGTGAAGTTTACTCCATCCATTGTACCTCCTGTTCCCAAGCTCAGGACATATCTGCCTCCAGAGTGGGTGAGACTGGGAGAATAGGAAAGGGGAGGCCCCTCAGCAGTGGCTGCCCTGGCATAGCTGTGCCCTGGTTTCAGGCTGATTTCTTTTCCAAGTTTCAGAAGCAAAGAAATGGTGGGGGAGGGGGAGCACGTGTCTGGAGGCACCTTTCCCTGGGTTGGGGGCAGGTGGCTTTGGCAGAGGGGAAGTAAAGCCAGCAGTGTGAGCTGTAAGAGCAGTGGAGGGCCTGGGGCAGAGGTCCAGCCCTGTACTGTCTGAGAACTGTCATTACTTCGTTTTATGGACAAGCCGCAGAGCAGGCGTTGGAATAGATAGGTCTGACAACCCTCTTGCATTTGGATCTAAGGAGGGAGTGGAGAATGAGGGTGTCCTCCTGGAGGTGGTGGAGTAGCCCCATTCTGTTGGGTGTGCCAAAGACCTTGTCCAGCCAGCTCCTCTGGGGATTGTGGCACCTCAGGCTTGGCACTGCAAAGGACCTGGAAAATTGGAGCTGGTTTTGTAATTATCTTGAGGCCGCCAAGAATCCTCACTCCACAAGTCCTTTCTCCTAATTCACTTTTTAAATTCAAAACTATTTAAAAACCCGATGTGGCCTCCTTATGTTACAATCACAGCCTAAAATCTGACCCTTTTACATCCAAATGGGATGCCCCAGCCAGATGCCAAACGCCTCCAGCAAACCTAGCCTCCAAGGACCTAGGACTAGGTCCTGAATCTTCATCCAGAACAAGCTCACTGGTATATTTTAAGGATATAAGACAAGATAGTTTCTGTTTGCTCACAAGACCCAGAGAAGCCTTCCCTGGCCAGTCAGGGCGAGCCTCAGAGACACCAGCCCACGTAAGGCATAACTGAATCTGTGTCCTGGCTAGGGCCACAGGCTTCCCTCCCAAATACCTCAGAGAGGAACCAAGTCCAGGACCCCAGAGGAAGTCTTTTCTCTGCAAGATGAGGAGGGGTGGTAGCCATGAAGCTAACAGCCCCTGGAGCTCTCATCACAAAGAACTTGCTCCTAATGTCATGGCTGCATCTATAACTGTTGCTGCAGAAACCTGCAACTATCCCTTATGGACTGAGCTGGCTGTAGACACTCACCCTCTAGGGTTCTCCTGTTGGATGAGTTGGTGGCAAGGAAACTGACAAGAGTTGCTGCCTGGAAGCAGCTGGTGTCCTGGTTGATAGGGGCTGAGGTAGCAGAGGCCCTTGGGCTGTAGTTGAGTTGGCTGAGGACAGAGAGGAAAGGCAGACCAGTATCAGTCTAGGTTCAATCCTAAATGACAATGGCTGCTCTTGTGGGGACATCTTGGGGGTACTTCTAACACACATGGGTTTCAGCACCAATGCTATGGCTGCCTGCCCTCAAAGGTAGAAGGTACTACTGACTGTCACGAGTGAGTGAGAAGAGGAAGGCGACTGTGAGCGTGAAACATTTTGGCATATTCGTCCCTTTGAGGCACAAACCTCAGGGCAGAGATTGTAGAACATGTCATTCAAGCTCTCCAAAGCTTGTTTCCTCCTCCGTAAAATGGAAAGTAACATGGAAATGATGTAATGGGAGCCACATCTGTAGCTTCAGATTTTCCTATAGCGATATAAAAAATGTAAACGGAAATAGTCTTTTGTTTTAGTACAGGAGATAGAACCTAGTAACTCAGGCATGCTAAGCAGATGTCAAACAAGTCATTTTACTAATAAATTTTAGAGTTGGAGGTGTAGTTCAGTAGGAGAGCAATTGCCCAGTTACCAAAGGCTCTAGGTTCAATCTTGTGAGAAGAATAAAAATATGTTTTATTTTAACTTAAAATGTATCCTAAACATACCGATGTTTATGTATTATCAACATAAACTATTATTGAGATATTTTACTTTATTTTCTGTACTAACCTTTGGAATCTGGAGTATTTTATACTTCTGGCTTTTCCCTACTTGAAAGAGTTCTATTTCAAGTATTCAAGGGCCACACGTGGCCGGCAGGGATTGTATTAGATAGTGCAATCTTAAATCCATCACCCATTACTGGATTATCTGCCAGCACAGCTTCTGGGAAGGCTCTCTGGGCCTCCAACCAGACAAAATGGTTGTAGAAAGGAATCAGACCTGCCCTTGGGCTTTGTCCCCTTCATGAGAGCAGCCATTGTCATTTGGTATCAAGTTGGCTCTTATGCCAGGCCTGCCTCAGCTAGGAAACATGTCCATCCTCCTACGCTGTCATTCCCACCCTGCTAGCCCTGCCTCAGCACCTGACAGAACATTTGTTTCCCTGTAGAAAGACCAAGACTAGGCAAGGAGTTGACTACAGAAGGCTGTTGGGGATTGGTGTGGTGGTAGTGTCCCCAAGAAAGATCCTGCCTGTGTTTGGAAAACTTGGACAGCCTGGGAGGACTTCCTGGAAGCGTGGCCAAGAGCAGTATAGCTGGCATTCTTCTAGAGGGATGCAAGCCTCAGAGCAGACAGGGCAAAGGCTCTTGTCTACAGCGTGGGTTCACTAAGAGGAGGTCTGGGGGACACTCAGAGACTCCCAGGCTTTGGGGGCTATCAATGCCAAGTGGAAGTTTTCACTTCTGGCTGAGGGTCATGGGGAGCCCCAGAAGTCTAAGAATGGCAGGACTGCTGGCATTAAGGAAGGGAGTCCTTCCCAAGGTTCAGGAACTACTGGGCACCACTTGGCACATGTTTATTATATAAAGAAGAAATTTCAGGACAATCTGATCAGATGCGTCACCGGTTCTACTGAGCCCCGTCTCCACCTGTGAGAAGAACTCAAGCCTGGCCTGGCAGTCTAAATCGCTCCAG